TGTTATTGCATTGTATAATCACTGTTCCTCCCCCAACATTCATGAACCCCGAGGGTGCATCATAGCTTAGAATAGTTTATTTTCTGTTAGACATCTTCCATTTTAGTGAGATTTGGTAAACTACCTCCCCAATAAAGAAGAAAAAACAAAAATCTTGATTCCTAAAATCTTAGTTGCCTCTCGTGATCCATTTATAGAGAAATGAAGAGATTTCTGCAAATAGCTTCCCCAATGAAGCCTGCAGCTTCCCTTGGAAATCTACTCCAGCAGAAGTAATTGTTGAGCAAATGTTACCCAGAGAGATACTGGAAACTTGTAAGTTGCTACATATACTAACAAGAAACAATATTTGCAAGATAAACCATCTTAGAAGCAAATGAGCATATTTCATGTGTCATTCAAATTTTCAATGGTTAATGCTGAATTATGTGCAAAGTGGTTCATATTGCCATATGTAGGAAATATATATGCATCTGCAAATCTGCATGTATATATGTAGAAAAACAAAAAATGCAGTTGTTCTTTGAATAATTAAAGTCACTAAATGTTATTATAAGCATACACAAAGAGACAAATTAATCATGCTTTGAGTGGAAATTTCAGTGTAACACTAGATAAGGAGTTACTAGCAATACATACATATTATATACAAAGATGCACACATATTATCTACATATGAAATATGTTCTTTTTGCTCTTTTCTGTGTTACATATAATCATAAACAGAAGAGTAAAAAAGAAAATATATTTCATATACAGACAATACAGTTAATATATGTATCTGTGTACATAACGAGTATAACATGTGTGTGTGTTAGAAAGAGAGGGAGAGAGAGAGAACAATCACACATACAGATTGCTAGCCTAAGAAATATGGTAAATAACTTGACAACTGTAATACCTAAAACACTAAAAATGTTACTGAACATAGCTCTAATGTTTGTTGGACTTAACATATTAAAACAATATATTCTTTTGGATATAAATATTTTTTTCTACTGTATTAATGACATAACTACAAATTCCTACTGTGTCTATGGACTGCAAGCACTGTAACATTCTGTAATAAAGGAGACGGTTACTTCAAGACTTTAAGGAAATTAACATAATGAGGATACTCTTGAAATTGCAAAATTTAGTTTGGTCCTTTTCCATAGTTTATCCATCTCCTCCTGCAAGCCCTTTAATATACCAGAGAATGCCTGAGCATTTTTATTAACTATTCTAACCCCAAGTCCATTTACGTCTGTTTCATTTGTAACCCAAAATAAAAGCCATCTTGTGCTTTAAAATAAGATGACTATGAAATAAGATACTGGTGGCTAATTAAGCCAACTGTTCATACTGTCTCTTTAAAAAACCTTCCTGTCACTCTAACCCCTCCTTCTGACGCCCCCTCCCCTCCAAATACACACACAGACACATACTTTCCTTCAATGAGTGGTTCAGGCTCCATGATTAAGGTCATGCCGTTTGTTCATTACTGGCCTGGCTAATGTGATTGAATTGGAACAATACCTTTGAACTCCTTGCCTCTGATCTGCATACTAATTGACTCTCTTGTCCTTGGCAGTGACCTTGACAGGCTCTTAACCATTCTGGGAATGTCTGACCAGTTTCTGATCAAAAGTTCCTATCAAAAAACAAATCAAATATTAGTCATTTATGTTACTCTTCTTTCTATTCATATTTCCTTATATACCATTAGAGAAGGCAAAATTGTTACTCCCTAGCTCCCCCTGGATGTATTTTAAAACTAGAAATTCACCATGTCATTTTAAAGTAAAGTACTGACACACTGACAGCATGGATTTTAGAGCATTCATTGTTGCAGCTTTCAACACATTTTCACATCTATTTTGAGGGGATTTTTCCCCATCTTTGTTAGAAGCATGATGCATGTTACCAAAGGCTCTTGATACTTTTGCAAGATTTCACATTTTTTTTAAAAAGAATCATCCATTGAGTTTTATTATAACCCAAGAAAACTGCACAAATGATTTCACTTCTACAGTCCTACCCATATCTCGACAGCACAGATTTCAACAGATTCTAAAAAGCAGTACAAATTATGGTAATTAAAAAAAACCTGCATCTAAAAATGTGAGATTTCAGGTAATGATCTAAAGTTTTTATATGTATATTTCTGAGGCTCTTAGAACAACACATTTCTCTGCAGAGGCAGGATTTCTCTGTGAAAGAGGTTATTAAACACTGTACTAAATGTTTATGAAAAAGCCGTTACAAAAAACTACTTTTCTGACTAGAAAATACATCTTGACTTGTTTCTTACTGGAGGGAAGATTTACTTCATGAAGCAAGTTTAGCATGTGTGAACTCTTGTTTTTAAGCAGTCCATGTCATGCACTAATAACTTAAACCACTAAAATGAGTCTCCATCAAGAAATACACAGAGACAGTCAACAGAGAAAGAAAAGAGTTACTGACAATAAATATCAGCATCAGAAAAGTTACAGTATAAAAAATTTTTGATTTTAGGCAAAACCTATAGTGAAGGAAAAAAAAGAAATATTAGGCACATTAAACTCATTCATTCTTTTAATAATACTTTGAACTTCTCTAACACTTTTCATCCAAAGCTGTCAAAGTCCTTTAAACACATTACTGAATTAAGCCTTCTGACAACCAGGTGAGGTAAGTACTATTATTCTATATCACTAGTGACCTATAAATAATGTAGCAAGCTATAAAATTTCTGACAAACACATAGTTTAATGTAATGTCTACTTTTATTCGGCATTGGTAATTAGACCAGCTGTTTTGAGAGAATGGTCTCAAAATGTATGAGAGGTTTTCATGACAAAGAAAATTAGGATTGTTTTTAAAAGACAATCTGGCCTATATCCAGGTACGTAGACAGGGCCAGATCTGGGCTTCATGGAAATCTATATGAAGTACATATGCTAAGAGATATGAAGTTCTTTTTTCCAATCCAGATTTTCCACAAATTTGGGCTTCTAATTCAGGACCACTGAGTAAGTCACCAAGTTCAGATGCAGATCGCAGCTTTCCCAAAAATCACGGGTGACTTGGTTCCAGGATTCCAGTTTGGACCCAACTCTAAAATATGTGTGGTTTCATTCAGTGCTTATGCCTGGTTCCATTCCATGCCCATGACCTAGAAGAGGCTCCTTACCTCATCTTGCTGCTGTCTGCTTGAAAATCCTTGATTTATGAAACTGTGTGTCCTTAGGTGAGCTCTCTGAGTTGTGCAGGAAGTCTAGAAGTAGAGCGAAAGAAGAAGCAGCGAGGGAAGACAGGTCAAGAATTCAGCATCCACAGAGGCCTGTAGCAGCCAATGTCAGATGAAGTTGCAGGTAGCAACCAGGAATAGCATTTGGGTGAGGGTATGTGTGTGCCTGCAGTCAGGGTCATCAGAAGAGTGGAGCTTTATGTACCACAGATCTAAGCACCACAACTGTGAACGTAGCCAGGCATCTAAAGATTCAGATAGGTGCCTAGTGGACTTCTCAAATGAGCCTACATTCTGAACTTCCATTGATTTCACTGCTCTCGGCCCAGGGTTTGCCCTGGGAATAGCAACTGAACAGGTGACATTAACATACAGATGCATGTAAGAAATTGATCCATTTAAAAAATAAATAACACTGTTGATGTAAAAATATTACATTTATTTAAGACCCCATATTGCATGTCAGGGTACATATACAACACTGAGTTATATATATTCTGAGTTATTCACTCAGTACTGAAATGCTGCTACCTCTATAATACAATATGCCAGCCATTCTGAAACAAGACAGAAAGCCGAAAAGATTTCACAGAGAATAAATTCACCAAATGAAGCTGAAAAAGGATGTTCTAAGTACACTGAATGCAGGTACCCTAATTAACCAGAATTTACTCAGGTAATATTTTCACTTAATCCAATATGAAACAGGAAATCAAAAGGAGTTTAGCCTCTTGGGTTTTGCCCATGAAATCTCATGATTTTCACACACACACACACACACACACACACACACACACACACACGCGGCTCCACACACCACACCCACACCCACACACACGCGGCTCACCGAACCGTGGCGAGCCCTGCTGTCCAGTGATCTGCGCATGTGCAGATCGCCCGAACCTGGCTCTTCAGGGTTACAATCTACTCGCCACAGGCGAGTAGATTGTATTATTTGTCAAGCCCTATATATATATGTGTGTGCTAGTCTTTAAGTACAGTATAACTCATTGCTTTTTTAAAAAAGTTTACAGGCTAACAGAGCTACCCCCTCTGTAACCTATCCTGCATAGCATCTGCAAAGTTTACAGGCTAACAGAGCTACCCCTCTGTAAGCAGCTGCAATAAGGGCCAGCCCAGAATCACCACGTTAGATTCTCTTCTGTGCCAGAGCTCAGTTTGGACCAGAAGAGCAAGAGGTAACATCTCTTCTGTTTGGTTTGTCCTGACTCTAAAGACCAGCACTGGCCCTGACACCACTCAGATCTATTGCCAAGTTGCTCTAAGTTACACCGTTAGTATAGGTCCTCAATGTACGTTGTGCCAGAGATGGATAAGTATAATGTAGCAGGACTCTGTCATGCTCACTCCCTGTCCATACCCCACAGCTAGGATGGAGTCAGAAGCACAGACCCAGCTGTAGCTCAACACTTAGCAGAGTTGTTTCTGGGGCATTTCCAGCCAGATTACAGGGTGCAAAGGGGCTGCCACACGTGAAACGATTTAGCCCATAATTAGTAACATTAAAATAAAGATGTCAAATTAAACACTGCAGAAGAATTGCTCTAAGCGTGCATGGTGTCATCCATGCATTTTACATATCACATGGAGAGAGTACGGTGAAAAATGGGGATGCGCAAGCTATGTTTCTTTGACCTTGCTTTCTCTAACAAACGTATAACAAAGTGTATATATACTCCTACTGAAAAAAAAGTCCAAAACAAGACACTCCATTGCTCACACTTCTCTGTCTGAGGAGAGGATGCTAGAACAAACACATTAAGCAGATCTGTAGTCACATGGCTTAATGCACTAGTGGGAGGTTCTCGGAAACTACAGTGATGACCAGAGGTAGAACACCCTAGACAGAAGAGAATATAGGAGAGATAATAAAAGGACAAATTATTATATATTCTATCTGCCCACCTGTTTATCGTGAGGATGACAAAGATGTTGGGTTCTCTCCTTCCTCCCTGTCTAGGAGGCTGTTACATATATACTGCATTACTTGCGTTTTCAATTAGCATCTATTGAAGTCACCGAGAGAAAAAAAGTATAATTAAATAAGGCTTTAGAGGATAGGTAATAAATGACTAGTGAAATCAATGGATTGAAGTAAAGCCAAAGATCTATATGGCCATTCACGAGATGTAAGACAGCTAAACAGTTCACTGTGACCAATGAAGATCTCAATTAAAATCAGTACTGATTAGCTTCAATAAAATGTAAGCCTATCAGGACCTGTTAGATGTTAGCATATACTTTAAATGATCGGGGGCATGATCTTGCAAGATGCTGAGCTGATTTACCTGAACCTGTAAAGCATTAAGCACATGTTTAATAATAGGCATTGTTTTTAAATGGAATACTTACATACAGGCAGTCCCCGGGTTACGTACAAGATAGGGACTGTAGGTTTGTTCTTAAGTTGAATCTGTATGTAAGTTGGAACTGGCGTCCAGATTCAGCGCCTGGGCTGTCCCGCTGCGGGTGTCCTCCGCAGCTTTGCTCCGCGTCTCCCTGGTCTGACCAGCAGACCAAGGAGACGGGGAGCAGCTTTTCTCGCCCCGGAGAACACGGGCAGCAGGACCGTGGCTCATCTGGGTGTCCCGCCGCTCCCGTCCTCCGGGGCGAGAAAAACCCCGTTCGTAACTGCAGATCCAACATAAGTCAGATCCGCGTAACTCGGGGACTGCCTGTACTTAATATTAAATATGCTTTTATGTTCATTGCATGGGATTTGGGCCAGAGAACTCTGAGCTTCGCAGGGTCAAGCCTCTGACAAATAGGGAAAAGATTACTTATGGGTTTAAAAATAAGCATGTGCTTAACTATTTGCTGAAGGAGAGCTGTAAGCAGGTTGCAGTTTTGCTTTTGTTGTTTGTTAGTTCTATTAAGTTATAACATAGGCATATTTGTCTGCGATTTATTTCTATCCTTTTTTTAAAAAAAACATTCTTGGTGTTTTAATATTTAATAACACCATTAGATGTTGAGGTACTTAGAATTTTTGTTTGTCAACATTCTGTTTCCATTATCACTCTAGTAATTACTGCTATGTTTTTAATTGATTAAATAAGAGTTCTCTTCTAACATTTAAACCTAAAGGTTAATAGCAAAAATGTGTGATGATAGAAACTGTAAAACTGCATGGCTTAGTTGCCTACTGGGGTCAAAGCAGAACTATGTAGTGTCCTCCATAATCCACAAAGTGAAGAAAGCCAAATATTCACAACATCCTTTTTTGAGTTGAAACATGCTGTTTTCATGTTTGCAAAATGTGGATTGTATTGCGGCAATTTTAAAATATTTCAATTTCTATATTAAACTTTGAAAACTGTTTAGCTACCAAGTTTACTGGGGAAAATATTGCGAAAGACTTATATGCAAATTTTAAAATGGGGCTGGTTGTTGATAAGACTAAATACATGAAACTGGATCTGATTCTCAGGTTGGCTGAATCTAGCCTTTATGTCTCCAACCACATTTTTGTGGATAGATGCCTGCAGCTCTGAGAAGCCCTATTTGCTTTTCTGTTTTTCTAAAGGGAAATCATATCTGGAAGAATCAGCATAGTTTTTGTAAAGGGAAATCATGCCTCAATCTACTAGAACTCTGTGAGAGGGTCAACAACATGTGGACAAGGGTGATACAGCAGATATTTTGTACTTAAACATTCAGAAGACCTGTGACAATCTCACCAAGGCTGTAAGCAAAGTAAGCATCCTGGGATAAAAGGGAAGGTCCTATCATATAACTGGTTAAAAGGAAACAAAGGGTATGAATAAATTATCACTCTTCAGAATGGAGAAAGGTAAAAAGTGGCATCCCCCAGAGGTCTGTATTGGGACCACTGCTTTTCAACATATTCAGAAAGGATCTAAAAGAGGAGTAATAGTGATGCGGCAACATTTGTAGATGATACAAAACTACTTGATATTAAATGCAAAACAGACTGCAAAGTGGTACAAAGGAATCTCGCAAAACTGTGAATGGACAACAAAATGACAGATCAAATTCAATACTGATACATGCAAAATAATGAACATCTAAATTACCTATCATCACCCAAGAAAAAATTTTGGAGTCATTGTGGCTAGCTCTCTGAAAACATCCACTCATTGTGATATATATATATATATATATATATATATAAAATTATGGAATCTAAATTAGCTATTATCACCCAAGAAAAAAATTTTGGAGTCATTGTGGCTAGCTCTCTGAAAACATCCACTCATTGTGCACCTGCAAGTCAAAAAAGCAGAATGTTGGGAATCAATAGTAAAGGGACGGAACAGCTTTCCATATGAGGAGAGATTAATATGACTGGAACATTCCAACCTGGAAAGGAGAGGGCTAAGGGGAGGGGATGGCATAACTGGTTTGGAAAAAGTAAATAAGAAAGTGTTATTGACTCCTTTTAATCACACAAGAACTAGGGGTCCCCAAATAAAATTGATAAGCAGTAGGTTTAAACATACAAAAGGAAGCATTTCTTCAAAAACACACAGTCAATCTATGGAACTCTTTGCCAGAGGATGTTGTGAAGGCCAAAACTATAAAGACTCAAAAAGAACTAGATACATTAATGTAGGATAGGCTATTAGCCAGATTTGGTAGGGATGGTCTCCTTAGCCCAGAGGTGGGGAACCTGTGGCCCATGGGCTGCATGTTCTTCATCAGGGTTAGCCACTGGCGGGCTGCAAGATGGTTTATTTACCGAGTGTTTGCAGGCACAGAGCCCTGCGGCACCCAACAGGCATGGTTCAATATTCCATAACAATAGGAGCTGTGGGAAGAAGTGGCCTGGCCTGCAGGTTCCCCACCCCTGCCTTAGCCTCTGTTTGCCAAAAGCTAGGAATGGATAACAGAGGATAGATCACTTGATTATTATCTGTTCCGTTCACTCACTCTGAATAGCCTGGTACTGGCCACTATTGGAAAACAGGGTACTGAGCTAGATGGCCTTTGATCAGACCTAGTACAGCCATTCTTATGTTCCCCTCTTCCTTCTCTGCTCACCTAGATGAGGAGGGATGGTACCCCTCCAAGTCTTCTCTATCTACAATCTGATGCTTCGCATTAATAAATATGAAATTAGCAGTGTTTTGGTGGCTCTGCTCTAAGTTTCATGCCAGAAAGTTTGAGCTTGTTCCTCAACTTCATTTGGGATATACACACATGCAACTGATGGAACCAAAAATTCTAGGGCTCGATTATTTCTACCCAGGAGGGAAATGACTTGAATTAAGGAAATCATTAAATAGGATACAGAGGGCAAAGCCTAACCCATTTCCCCCCCACCCTCACCCCAACAAAAAGAACTGGAGGCAGGGGAGAAATGACAAAGAGCTGAAACTACTGCCTGATAGGCAGGAAAGTTACTTAGCCACATTTATGCAGAGTCTGTCCTCCCTGTTCCCCAGTTCTGCTTGAGGAAACAACAGTTATTACACAGGCACTGGAATCATCTCTAGTATTTTTGGAAGTATAATTTATAAAAGTAGCAGTTTTTTGAACGTTGAAGAATTTGGCTATTAGCAACTCCATTTATCTGAAGAAGTGGGCTGTGCCAACAAAAGTTCAAGATACCATCTACATTTTTTTTCTTAGTCTCTAAGGTGCTGCAGGACTATTCATTGTTTTTAAAATCTGGTCAGTATGTTTTTTCTGTCAACCTGATGATACTGCAATGATAAGTGTCTACCAGCCCATTGATCATAATACAAGTTGGACCTCCCTGATCCAGCACCCTTGGTCACGGATGAGGAATTTTGCCGGACTAGGCAAGGTCATTTCTGGTCCCCTGCCATAGCTCCCCCAACCATGGCCTGGCCCACTGGCCTCCCAACTGGCTCCCCAGCTGCTGCTGGCCCCACTGCCGTGCTGCCCTCGCTGGGCCACTGCCACAGCTCCCGGCCCTGCCAGGCAGCCACATGCTGGGGCTTCTGACCCCGCCAGGTAGCTGAGGCTCTGGGCCCCGCTGGACCACCGCTGCTGCTGCTGCTGCAGCTCACCACCCTGGCTGTCAGCAATGCACTGGGTCTCCTAGCCCATCTGGGCAGCCCCGTTGCCATGCGCTGGGTGGTCTCACCATCACCTCTCTACAGGCAACAGCTGGCTCTGCACCGTAATCTCTGGTCCTGCAACATCCGTGCCAGACCAAAGATGTTGCCAGACTAGAGAGTCTTGGTTTAGAGAGTATCAGAGGGGTAGCCGTGTTAGTCTGAATCTGCAAAAGCGGCAAGGAGTCCTGTGGCACCTTATAGACTAACTGCAGTGTAGGAGCATAAGTTTTCGTAGGCAAAGACCCACTTCGTCAGATGCATGGTTTAGAGAGTTTTAATGTGTAGTAAATAACAAATTAAAATCATATTTAGACTCTCAGAAGAGGGAAATACAAAATGTTCAGTACCTCTTCCTCTTGGTATCTGTCTAGCTAGCTCAGATTGCCCATTTGTTGTTTTTTTCACTGAACAGAGGTGTCCCCTCGCTCTAGTAGTTAGCAAACTAGGGACTATGGTGGAACTAAGGGGACTTGTGAATGAATGGCAAGATGTGACAGGTTTTAACTTATAAGCTATATCTAGATAGAAAAGTAGACTACCATGCCAGCCAATTTTCATTTGCTAGATAACAGATGATGGCAACTGGCACTTTCTGATCATCTACACACCATGGTACTTTACCTGTGCCAACAACAGTGAATGCAACTGACTAAGGTCTGCAACATGGCCAAACAGCTTCAAAGCAGAGGATTCCAGTTTGACTCTTCAGGCACTAACTCACATCTGGGGGAAGGGGGACGCCTAAGAGAAAGATCCAAAACAAGAGAAAAAATGGAGAGAGACATAAGGACAAAGATAGCATAAAAAAAGACGACGCAGACAAATGAGAATTTCTGCTACAGTTAGGCCCACCAACTGAGAGGGAGGAAGACAAAGGGGGCAGCTGTCCTGGGGCCTGGTAATTCAAAAGGGTCTGAGGTTCCCTGCTAATCTGAGGTTCCCTGCTATCTGCCAGGGGCCTGGCATGACTCTCAGCTTGCCTGGTTATACACTCCCTCAAGGTGAACAGTACTGTGCTCCGTGAGTAGTTCCATGGAAGTTAACGGGCATATTGCACAATGTGAGTGAGGGTTGGATGATCAGGCCTATATAAGCACCACATTTTGCTTTTATACTGAAAAATTGTGGTTTCTGGCAGGTTCGTTTTGTGCAATAGCTTAGGAAATAAGCTACAGCTCCCAGCTTTGGTCCTGGCTAGAAGGAGTTTAGAAACCAATGATGTAAATTCCTGATGGGTTTTCAACAGAAAACAATGAGCCATCTTTTTTAAATTAAGAAATTAGAAGTGACTTCAATAATAGAAAGAAGGCTAACTATGAGGCCCACATTATCCAGTTGGATGACACTGGACAACACATGAGCTGTTTGATTTTGATTCATGTTTGTGCTCATTAGATCCTTATTTACGTATTGTTCAGAATAATCCTGTTTGTTTTAAAATTATGTTAAAATAAATACTATCAAAGGACTTATTTTATAGGAAACAAATGTATTCATGCCAGGGAAAGTTCATTAAGTTGTAACCAAGAATGAATGAAGCAGTGGATATTATAAAAAGGGGGAAATCTGGGAGAAGACATAATTTTGGTTCTTCACTACCTCATTATTTGTAATCAGTGGTATATAAACTTCATATTATAATTCAGGATCAATTCAGATGCAAATATATGAGTATTAATTGTATATGTAAAAGAAGAAAACCGTGACCATGTTAAAATGTATTTTTCTGCTGATTCTGTATCCTCTAAGAAATTCAAAATTTAAGAAGTTTCACATCACCTGTGTGTGCTTATAGTGAAATAAATTCCTGTTGAATTCAAAAGCACCGGAGTTTCACACACAGTAAGCATAGTTTAAGAGAGGCCAAGTGTTGAAGTCGAATGTGCCAATTAAAAAAGAAAAAAGTTTCTTGTAGTCTAGCTGCCATGTTGCTTTTCCATGGGGATATATACATTCTGCAGAGTTCAGACCTAGTTGGTTTTCTTCTTGATGCAACACATGCATAACTCTCATTATATTAGGGGTGGGCAATAAAAAAACAGCAGACTGCAGGGTTAGCCCCTGGCGGGCTGGCACCACTATGTTTACCTGTGATTCACGGCCAACCAGAGCTGCAATCCTCCGATAACTGTGGAGGCAGTAAACATGGAGGTGGGGGCCCACCAGAGATTAACTCTACGGATCGGATCCAGCCCACGGGCCAGATTTTGCTCACCCCTGCATTATGTAAATTAAGAGTTTTGCATGTAGCAAGGCAAAAATTCACCTCTCCTGTTCAAAGCAAGACCGCACAGAATTTGCAGAGCAGGGAAGCAGAGCTGTAAAATCTTGTTTAATCAATTAAACATAATGTTTAACTGGTTAACCGATTAAAGGGGAGTGAGCAACCCCCTGTGCACAGAAGCTGCTCCAGCCAGCTTGAGAGCCCCTGTCTGCGGTAGGCCCCTCAGGGCTGGAGCAGCCCTTTATCCATGGCTGGAGAGCTGCTCCAGACTCCACTGGTTAACAGGAGCCGGTAATCCTCACTCGTTAACCATTCACCGTCCTACAGGGAAGTGACTTAGGGGAATATGAGGAGATAAAATGATTTTCCCTAATCCGGAAGGGTATCGGAATCGCAGACAGCCATGTTTCAGTCCCTCAATGTTTTGAGGTCAATCCACACAAATCACATAACTACTCACTACAAGCCTGATCCAAGCCCACTGAAATCAACAGAAAGATTCCCACAGACTTTTTTGGTACCTGACTCAGGGGCTAACCCCCTCCAATGCTTTCTAGCTCAGATTCCTTAAGGCCATGGAATGTGGCAATATGAAAATTAGTTTCACTATGTGAAGAGCATAGTAGTATTCCCCTGCACAGGTTCCTCATAGATTATTCTTCAGCTCCATGGAACAAACCTACCAGTTCAGCCTCATTATAACATTTACACAGGTCAGGCTACGCTCCCAAAGTAAAGGGAGAGAAGACTCTTACAAGTTCTGTAACTCAAACTATCTTATTTACATTTACATTTTTATTTTTTGAATTTAGAGAAAATGTTATGTGCACT